TTTGTTGCAGTTTTTTTTATCTCACCCGGAGCGAATAAGACAGAGTCGTCCATGTTCCATAGTGTTGCTAAGTTAATTTTTTTCATGGTAAAAATTTTTGATCGACTCAGCCATCTTTGGCTGGGATTAATTAATTTTGATTTGTGAATCACTCAGAAGAGCTCGAATTTTAATAGAAATTTACAAAATGTTAATCCTTTTGCGGTAAAGCTATTATTAGGAAAGGACCTTTGAGCCTTATCTATTTTCATCGTGATTGTGGTTGAGCCTGAATTTTGACAGAACTTTTCAACATTTTTATCTTTGTGGAAAAGGTATTAGTAGGAAAGGAAACTTTATCTATAAAAAAGCTAAGCCGAGTTCTATTACTTCTACTGAGTAGGGGAGAGACTCACTTTTTTGCTTATCGACGTGGGAACTCATATTTTGTCTAAGAGGACCCCTCTACCCAACTTTAATCAAAACGCATTTCTAGCAATATCGATTGGCCATTGTAAATCTCCACACCATAACAATTTGGAAGTAGAGGAAATTTCCAATTCATGTCTATTTTAAAACATATTAAGCAAATGTTATATTTATATAACTGATGGTGCAAAAAACACCCACCCCCTGCATTACTCATCATTGACGATCACAAAAAAATACTCAATAAATAAAATCACCCTCCTTTGTTATATAATTTTCCCATTTCCAGGTCTTGCGTCAGCTGGTTTTCAAAAGAACAAATAAAAAAATTAACCATTTCGAACAGCGTTTTGCATAATGATGGGATAATGGATTACATAGGAATTTCCGCAATTCAATAATTATTAATGTATACAAATTACAAATTGATTGGCAGTGGCATTAAAGACAATAAGTCAATCATCTACCATTGAGAGAAAGAGTATGCGAGTGTGTATGTTGGTGTGGTAGGCCATTAGCTTTTCTTTCATGCAATTTCTGGGAAAAATCTGTCAACCATCCACCACAAAAAAACAACAAAAAGGAATGGAAAATAAATTTCATTTTACAAACTCAATAATTATAATAAAACGGGAAAAATTGCCTGTGATTAATATATTTATTGGCAGATTTATTACATTAAAAAACATCAGCGATTTTAATTGGATTTTTTTTCTGGTCACATACATGACAGACCAAAAAATAAAGGACTAAAGGCAATTGTTTTAAAAATAGAAATCGTATTTATGTATATAAAATTAAACTAGAAAAAGAAAATCAATACAAATCCCTATGCTTAATTTCAAAAACAATAGTTCTGCAATATTTTCATTTGCATTTGTCAATTTCAATAGCAGATAACGAAACATTTCAATCAATATGTTGATGTTATAGAGACAAAATGGGGAAGGGAGAGACAACATATTCTCAACAAAAGTCCTTGTGGCCACAATTTTTATTTTTTTGTAATTTTTGTTTCATTTTTCTTCATTACCCCATATTTCCCATCCCCCATCCCCTCATCAAATTGTTCATTTTTTCTGAAACCACGAGAAGTTTCTGCCAATCAAGTCAACACTCTCGATGAATTGACGTCTATATATCTAACGGGACAATTCATCCTTGTCCAATCCTTGTCCACTTCATGTTACCCGTCCATCTTGTTTTACAGCAGTGTTTTTTTTCAGGTCTCCTTCGTTGGCCACATGAGTAAAACAAATTAAATTTTCATCCATTGGATGATGTTGTCCTTCATAAGAGGATTTACCCACGCCCGTGGGCAGTTGATAATAATAATGATGATGTTGATATCCTGACGTGGTGAAGATGGCAAGAGGGGGAAAGACAATCACTTAAGTATCTTTGTAAAGGTATTAAAGTCAAATGAGCAATCTCTGCAAAGTTCGAGGTCCATATGCACAAGCTGTACAAATATAAACAACTTTACTAGGGTGTGACATTGCAAGGGTGATGGAAACCAAAACTTTCCAGGGAACTCAAATATATGGCATTTCATAGAAAAAAAAAAGAAGTGATAATTTCACTGAAGATTAAAATATTTTTTCCAAAACATTTTCATACCGAAAATAAGAGAGCTCATAGAAGAGCATTTGCTCTTCTCATAGACGAGAACTTGCTCCTTTTCTAGCGGATCATTTGCTTTGCTGACAGAAAAGAATTTGCCCGTCTCATTGAAGAGCATTTGGTATCTCATAGAAAAGCAATTGGTCTATTCTCATAGAAGAGCAATTGGTCTCTTTACATAGAATAGCCGGTTGTCTATTTTTATTAGAGAGCAGTTTATACCTTCTCATAGAAGAGAAGTTGGCCTCTTCTCATAGAAGAGCAGTTGGGCTTTTCTCATAGAAGAGCCATTTGTCAGCGGTGCTCAAAACCGTGTTCTAGAACATGAACCGAAAAAAGAGATAATTTAAGAGAAAATTAAAATTCTGTTTTTCTTTATATTTTACGGTTCTATTAATTTGTTTTTAGACACGAATGTTTGCCAAATTAATTTATAAAGCAAATGGATAAATAATATTTGTATAAACAATGACTTAACACTGTTTTGTTCTTGATTTAAATAAGCAAAGAGAAATTTGACTGGAAAGAGGTATTTTTTCTTGAGCACCGCTGCATTTGTCTATTTTTATTAGAGAGCAGTTTACATCTTCTCCTAGAAGAGCAATTGGTCTCTTCACATTGAAAAGCAGTTATTGCTCTTCCCATACAAGAGCAGCTGAGCTCTTCTCATACAAGAGCACTTGGTCTCTTCTCATAATATAGCAGTTGGTCTCTTCGCATTCAAGAGTAGTTGGTCTTTTCTCATAGAAGAGTAGTTGGTCTTTTCTCATAGAAGAGCAGTTGGTCTCTTCTCATAGAAGAGCAGTTATTGCTCTTCTCATAGAAGAGCAGTTATTGCTCTTCTCATATAAGTGCGGCTGAGCTCTTCCCATACAAGAGCTCTTCTTATAGAAGAACAGTCGGTCTCTTCCCATAGAATTTGATATTTGATGATAAGGCCAACTGGGCTTCAAAGATAAAACTTGCTGGTCTACTCTTAGAAAACCTCTTAGTGATCTCTTAGCAGACATGTGTCTCCTGTTGTCTTGGAAGGCATTTGGCTTTCTCTTAGAACACCATCTTGCCTCCTCTTAGCGGACCTTTTGGTCTTCTCTTGGAAAAGATTTTTGGAAAAGATTTTTAGCCTCCTCTTCTCTCTTAATTGAAAAGAAGAGCAGTTTGACCTCCCCTAGTAGACTCGTAGGATTCCTCATTAAAAATTAGTCTCTTAAAATATATGTTTTTGCCCTCATGGAATACTAGTTTCATTAAAATCCAGTTAGACTTCGGGCGTTCTAAAAACCTCTAAAGGGTGTTCTCATGCAAGACCTGCTAGCTAATCCATTGCAGAAAACCAGTAGGTTTTTAATGGGTCTTATCATAAAATACCAGGATTTATTTGCTCGATTAAAATATCTCTTCTTTATCCCCTTAAAAATATATTTTCCAATTTTTGTCACCTAAATTGTATCACCCTGTTTCCACACCCTCTTCATTCATTGATTGATTTTCAATTGCCCCTTAAGAGATTATTTTGCTGTTTATACCATTCAAATATTTGAAGCCGTTTTATCAGTCCTTCGTTTTCATTACAACATTGATGATGGGTAGACAAGTTGATGACGTCAGAGGTGAAATAGAGCAACAACAACAAGGCAGTAATGATTGGAATTTTTTCAACGAAAAGGTAAAGGGTTATGTTAAACAAGAGACCATAGATAAAAGTTGTGTTGGATTGGCTTAAATCTTATTAAATATGGCCACTACCTCGGTTATGGGATTCATAGCGTTTTCAAAAAACATTTCGAAATTTTTTTGAAAATATTTTCAATTTTTGTTATTCAATTTTTAATATCGATTTAATATTGTTTTACTTGAAAACAATTCCCTTTTGTTTTGCTGCAATGCACAATGGCTAAAAACCCAAAATATAAAGCATACTTTAAGGCATAATCTATGAGTTACATAGACTAAATGTTTAAATGAAAAATATGTTTGTTCTTCGTAGTATTTGAAATGGAATTAGTATGGATTTTAATTGATTTGGAGGATTTCAGATAAGAAAACCCGTTATTTGCTTATATTTTGTCTTATTTTTAAACAAAAAAAAAAAAAAAAAAAAAAAAGAATGAATCCCAAAAATTCGTGGGAAAGGCTCGAAGTTTGTTTTTTCTTCCGAGTCCTTCGTCATTTACAAAGCGATATTTCCTATATAAATAGGAAATAAATGATCTTATCTTCCATTTTCATTGTTTTACCAATTTCAAGGCCCACCTCATCAGCAAAAAGACTATTATTTACAACTAAAACTACTTTATTTTGCATAAGATAATTGAATATTCTTTTCAATTATTATAACGTAAATCTATTAATCTTGTTGGTCAAGCCATGTGAAGAATAAGGCCAAACTGTTAATGGTTGACGAGATCTGATGCCGGAGAATACGGTGACTAAGAAACTAATCAAAAAATACGAAAATAAAAAACTCGTCATAACTTGATGTCAAAGTCTATTAAAATCCCAGAACAGCAGCCGCATGGAGATTACCTACATCAAACTTTACATCAAAGTTTGTAAAAAAAGATAGCAACAAACGACGGAATGAAGAAACAGCCAAAGATCACTTGACGTGAGCAGGGCCACAATAACAACCATTGAAAAATTATTAAATAATTAATCACTGGAGAAGTGAAGACCAGCCACAGAAGCGACAACTCATACAACCAAAAAGGAGGGACCTCCAAGATAGAATTGCTGTCATATGCCAGATGAATTTTTTCTCCTTTTTGTTTTTGTAAATGCAAATGTGTTGGCCAGGCTTATTAACATTTCATTATGGAAATCATGAAAACGATGGCCAAGGATTTAGACGCCACCAAGGAATCTTGACAGAGAACATGATGACGGCTCGTCTTCTACTTCTTCCTTGGAAACTTTAACCAAAACCATGCATAAAATTATGGCTTAAAGACTAATGGTGGCACACTCACCTGCTAAATAGCGATCACTTTGGGAACGGGAATAGCGCAGGGTCTAGAATAAAAGAAAAATCAAAAAACCAATTTAATAGCCACAAAAAAATCGCCGGCAAAGAACTTGAGTCAATCCTTTTAATCAGCCAGAGTATTTAAATTTAAACAAAGTATCCACCCAGACAGAGGCCAAGGATGGATTCAAGTTCTTTGTTTTGATTCTTGGGTTTCCCTTTACAACTGTTTCTTTTTCAGATACAGATACAACTCACCACATTTTGGTTGGCAAAATCATCAAGACGTTTCTCCTGCTTCAGCAACAAAGGCGCCGAATTGGATTTCGTTGAGAGCTCTTGGGTATCTAGTATTTCATGACCACTATGCAGCGATGCACTGCTGGGCGAGGGCAGCTCATGGAAATGTGTGGGCGCCAACAGTGACTGAAATGGTTCTTGTCTCAATGCCAGCGACAGCTGATTGCGATCCTTGTGATGATCTCTCAAATGTTGCAGTTTACGTGCCAATTGGGCATGATGGGCGGCGGCCGCCGAAGCATGGGCAATTGAGCCATGACCATGCTGATGTCGATTGTGATGATGTGCCGCCGCCGGCTGATGATATGAATTTGGCAGTGATGAGGTATCCAGCGAATGGCTACGACATTTTTGCGGCACCATAATGGGTTGGGCGCCATATTTGCGACGCATTACCACGCCACTGCCACCATTTGTGGAATCGCTTAACGAACCATTGTTAATGGAACTGTTAGTACGTGTACCCGAACTACCGGCACTGGCACTGCTGGCATCCCCATCCTCCGTGCAATCACAGTCACAGTAGGGCACAATTTCGAAATCATCATGGCCCTCGTCTTCCTCATCGACCATATCGTAATCATCCATATCTTCATCGTTGTTATTGGATTTGAGAGAATTATTATGTTGTCCTCCACCACCTCCTCCAATAACTTGTTGAACTTCAACTTCATCATCAACATCAACTTCTTCTTCATCATCATCGTCACCATTTGGTGTTTCATCGCATAAACTTAACACTTCCAAGAGATCGGGATCATCAGAGCTTGTAACCGAACTTCCCTTTTGGAATTTCATTTTACGCAGGACATCCAAACTGCTGATCGATTCATTGTCCTGTTGATTGTGGTGGTGATGATGATGATGGCGATGATGATGTGGCATACTCTTCCAATAGGACATATCTTTGGGTGGTGTGGCTGTGCCAATACCGCTTTCATTATTATCATTTTCTACGCCAGAGCTATCCAGTGAAATGCCCGATTTACCGGAACTCAAGACACCAGATGCTTCTTCACATGCCGAGGATGAGGTTGAGCTGTGGAAAAAGAAAAATACAAAAATGTGATGTTAATACAAATATTCGAAAAGATTTATTTTTAAAAGATTTAAGGATACTTGTATAAAAATTTAAAGGTGTTCTATGGCGAGGAGAACTTGTAGAGACTCTCTGTGGTCAGACGAGATTTAATAAGCTCTCTACAGTTCAACATCTCTCTCGGTGCCTAGAGCAACGCAAAAATTTTGGCCCTTTGTGGGGGAGACCTTCTATAGCCAGAAGACAGTCTTCAGGTGTTCTGTAGCTGGAAGATCTTTTTCAGCTCTCCTATAGCTAGAATACCTTATTCAGCTCTTCTATAGCTGGAAGATCTTCTTCAGCTCTTCTATAGCTGGAAGATCTTCTTCAGCTCTTCTATAGCTGGAAGATCTTCTTCAGCTCTTCTATAGCTGGAAGATCTTCTTCAGCTCTTCTATAGCTGGAAGATATTCTTCAGCTCTTCTATAGCTTGAAGATATTCTTCAGCTCTTCTATAGCTTGAAGATCTTCTTCAGCTCTTCTATAGCTAGAAGACATTCAGCTTTTCTATAGCTAGAAGACATTCAGCTCTTCTATAGCAAGAAGACCTTCAGCTCTTCTATAGCTAGAAGACCTTCAACTCTTCTATAGCTAGAAGACCTTCTTCAGCTCTTCTATAGCTGGAAGATCTTCTTCAGCTCTTCCGTAGCTTGAAGATCTTCTTCAGCTCTTCTATAGCTTGAAGATCTTCTTCAGCTCTTCTATAGCTTGAAGATCTTCTTCAGCTCTTCTATAGCTTGAAGATCTTCTTCAGCTCTTCTATAGTCTGAAGATCTTCTTCAGCTCTTCTATAGCTTGAAGATCTTCTTCAGCTCTTCTATAGCTTGAAGATCTTCTTCAGCTCTTCTTTAGCTTGAAGATCTTCTTCAGCTCTTTTATAGCTAGAAGACCTTCAGCTCTTTTATAGCTAGAAGACCTTCAGCTCTTCTATAGCTAGAAGACCTTCTTCAGCTCTTCTATAGCTAGAAGACCTTCAGTTCTTCTATAGCTAGAAGACCTTCAGTTCTTCTATAGCTAGAAGACCTTCAGCTCTTCTATAGCTAGAAGACCTTCAGCTCTTCTATAGCTAGAAGAGCTTCAGCTCTTCTATAGCTAGAAGACCTTCAGCTCTTCTTTAGCTAGAAGACCTTCAGCTCTTCTATAGCTAGAAGACCTTCAGCTCTTCTATAGCTAGAAGACCTTCAGCTCTTCTATAGCTAGAAGACCTTCAGCTCTTCTATAGCTAGAAGACCTTCAGCTCTTCAATAGCTAGAAGACCTTCAGCTCTTCTATAGCTAGAAGACCTTCAGCTCTTCTATAGCTAGAAGACCTTCAGCTCTTCTATAGCTAGAAGACCTTCAGCTCTTCTATAGCTAGAAGACCTTCAGCTCTTCAATAGCTAGAAGACCTTCAGCTCTTCTATAGCTAGAAGACCTTCAACTCTTCTATAGCTAGAAGACCTTCTTCAGCTCTTCTTTAGCTTGAAGATCTTCTTCAGCTCTTTTATAGCTAGAAGACCTTCAGCTCTTTTATAGCTAGAAGACCTTCAGCTCTTCTATAGCTAGAAGACCTTCTTCAGCTCTTCTATAGCTAGAAGACCTTCAGTTTTTCTATAGCTAGAAGGCCTTCAGCTCTTCTATAGCTAGAAGACCTTCAGCTCTTCTATAGCTAGAAGACCTTCAGCTCTTCTATAGCTAGAAGACCTTCAGCTCTTCTATAGCTAGAAGACCTTCAGCTCTTCTATAGCTAGAAGACCTTCAGCTCTTCTATAGCTAGAAGACCTTCAGCTCTTCTATATCTAGAAGATCTTCAGCTCTTCTATAGCTAGAAGACCTCCTTCAGCTCTTATATGGCTAAAAGTCCTCCTTCAGCTCTTCTATTGCTAGAAGATCTTCCTAAACTCTTTTATAGCTAGAAGACCTTCCTAAGCTCTTCTATAGCTAGAAGACCTTCAGCTCTTCTATAGGTAGAAGAACTTCTTCAGCTTCCTAAGCTCTTTTATAGATAGAAGACCTTCTTCAGCCCGTCTATAGCTAGAAGGCCTTCTGCAGCTCTTCTATAGCTAGAAGGCCTTCATTAGCGCTTCTGTACCTAGAAAATTTTCTTCATCTCTTCTATAGCTAGAAGATCTTCTTTAGCTCTTCGGTAGCTAGGAAGGTCTTCCTAAGCTCTTTTATAGAAAACCTTCCTAAGCTCTTCTATAGCTAGAAGACCTTCTTCAGTCCTTCTATAGCTAGAAGGCCTTCTATAGCTAGAAGGCCTTCTATAGCTAGAAGGCCTTCTATAGCTAGATGACCTTTCTTAGCTCTATTATAGCTAGATCACCTTCCGCAGCTCTATTGTAGCTAGAAAACCTTCTGCAGCTCTTCCATAGCTAGAAGACCTTCTTCAGCCCTTCTATAGCTAAAATACCTTATTCAGCCCTTCTATAGGTAGAAGACCTTCTTCAACCTTTGTATACCTAGCAGACCTTCTTTAGTTCTTCTATAGCTAAAATATCTTCTTCAGCTGTTCTATAGCTAGAAGATATTCTTCAACTCTTCTAAATCTAGAAGATTTTCTTCAGGTAATTTACAGCTAGAAGATCATCTTTAGGGCCCTTATAGCTAGAATAACTTCGTCAGCTCTTTTATAGTTAGAAACTTTCTTCAGCTCTTCTATATCTAGAAGACCATCCTTAGATCTTCTATATTTAGAAGAACTTCTTCAATTCTTTCTAGATTTTCCCCGTAATTTTTATTTATTTATTTATTTTTATTTTTGCAAATTGTAATTCTTCCTCGTTCTCGTATGCCGTAATAATAGTTCGCTTGGCGTTTTTTCTTCTAATGACCCCCAAGATTGATTTTTGATCATTTTCCCCACTCCCCACGTCATTCTTTTTTCCATTCAATCAATTGTCATTTTTATTCTTATTCTCCCAGGAAGTGATTAACCAAAATAAGAATGCCAATAAAGAAAAGGAACAATGTGCCACACAGAAGACTCCAAATGAAGATGAAACAATTGCCAAGCTTTCTTCAATGGCTGAACTCCCCTAAGAGGCCACACATAGGCCAAGAATTGAAATCCGCAATGTAATATTTTTCTTTTATTCTTTTTGAGCTTTTTTTGTTTTGAGTTACGTGTGGTTCTGCCTGGCACACTCCATTGCTGCTTGGAACACACAATGGAATTGCCATTGTAAGTAATTATGTCTCAATGGATTAGAAGAAATGAAAGAATGGGAAAAAAATATGCCAATGCATTATGGATTTTCCAAAGGAAATGCTCATAGAAGTGGCTTTACTTACTTATTGTCTTCATCGACGGCGCCAACACTCCTTAAAATCGATTCCTCAGATGTCCAGATTGTAGAGGTTGAACCTTTTTTGGTAGCATCATTGCCATGTTGTAATAGATAACTTGTTGTTGTTGTTGCTGGTGTTGATGCTGCATTTGACGTTGATTGCTGTGTCGCTGGCCTGCTACAGGTCAGCATTATGTTGCTGGATGAAGATGATGATGTCGCCGTCGTCGGATTGGAAGCCTTTTTCGGCATTGCACATGACGAGCCTGTCATAAGAGTTTTATGTTTATTAGCATTACCACTGCTGTTCCCGACCATGTGGCCACCAGCCCCACCATTGCAGTAATGATTTTGTTGCATTAGAGCCGACAATTGCTGGCTTTGATCTATGGAGGTATTGCGCAGATTATCCATTTCCATGTTCAATTGACGTAAACGTTTCTGATGTAAAGATTCTACATCTGTTGCCGGTTCAGTGGACCCCATGGAGCTGGCCGCTTTGGCCGATGTCTCTTCAATCTTTAGAATGGTTATTGGATTTACTTTGGCTGGGGCTGACATCGTTGACTTAATGTCACCATTGCTCATATTTGAGGCTGCGGCATCATTGCCGGGCAAATTTGTCAGATGCGAATTGTGATGATGATCGAAGGAGGCAGCAGCAGCAGCAGCAGCACTAACTCCTGCTAAACTGTTACGTTGGGCCAGCAGCAGATGACGGGGATGGCCACTTAATTTGTTGTTGTTGTTGTTGCCGGTGTTGTTCTCGACTTGATTTTGATTATGAAGTAGTGCCTGGTAAATTGTATGCGAAGGTGATGGTGTCGGAGCCGATAATGTTCTCAAGTAGGCAACTTGAGTTTTAGTCACATTGCCACCTGAGGCAGAGGAGCCTCCACCACCGCTGTTATCTAAACGTCCGCAATCAAGGTTAAACGACTGCAATGGTATGGTGGCCTAAAAAGGGAAGACAGAAAAAAGAAGATTGAAAAAAAAAAATTAAAATGATAATCAGTTAGTGGCTGCGAATAAGGAGTATTCACATATTTTGCTATTTTTTGAATATTTCCTATGAAACCGAGGTCTTTCGTGGCTGCTTATCAGTCGTTGGGGTTTTTTGTTTTTGTTTAAACCTCCGCCATATGGTGGCTAGGAAGCTAAACCTCCACACAAAGTGCCCGTGCCATTACCACTATTTATGAAAGCGAACGTGATTGAACAACAATACCTGACTTAACATATTACAATCGAAGAGACAGACAGTCAGCCAGGCCGGCAAATAGCATCTCATCTTTGTGAACAATCTTTGAGCTTGGAGTCTTCCTTGAAAATTTTGAAACAAAACAATACAATGCTGTTGAAAGCTATAAGCATCCCAAAGATTTCCTTTTCGATTTTGCGTCTCTCTTCAAGGACCTTGAATGCGTAATGAGCCTGTACAGTACAGCATCATCATCAGATCAGCAGGTTGCCGATCTTTTCAATCCAAGATCGCTTGAATTTATATTTTTTCGTTCGAGACACAGAGCTGAACTATGATTTTGTTTTGGGACAGTGGTTCTCCCAATGAACGAAAAGGCAAAGCTTTTCAAATAGAAAATATACTAGCTATACTTTTTCTGATGCTGGTAGAAGGTCTTCTAGCTATGGAAGACCCGTAGAATGTATTTTGACTATACAAGACCTGTTAGAAGTATTCTAGCCATTGAAGACCTGCAAAAGGCCTTCTAGCTACAGAAGATCTTATAGGCATAGAAGACTGGTAGAAGTTCTTCGAGTTACAGAAGAAGGAAGAGCTGAAAAAAGTCTTCTAGCTCTAGAAGAGCTGAAGAAGGTCTTCTAGCTATAGAAGAGCTGCAGAAGGCCTTCTAGCTATAGAACAGCTGCAGAAGGCCTTCTAGCTATAGAAGAGCTGCAGAAGGTCTTCTAGCCATAGAAGAGCTGCAGAAGGCCTTCTAGCTATAGAAGAGCTGCAGAAGGTCTTCTAGCTATAGAAGAGCTGCAGAAGGTCTTCTAGCTATAGAAGAGCTGCAGAAGGTCTCTTCTAGCTATAGAAGAGCTGCAGAAGGTCTTCTAGCTATGGAAGAGCTGAAAAAGGCCTTCTAGCTCTAGAAGAACTGAAGAAGGTCTTCTACCTCAAGAAGAGCTGAAGAAGGTCTTCTAGCTATAGAAGAGTTGCAGAAGGCCTTCTAGCTATAGAAGAGCTGCAGAAGGCCTTCTAGTTATAGAAGAGCTGCAGAAGGTCTTCTAGCTATAGAAGAGCTGCAGAAGGTCTTCTACCTATAGAAGAGCTGCAGAAGGTCTTCTACCTATAGAAGAGCTGCAGAAGGTCTTCTAGCTATAGAAGAGCTTCTAGCTATAGAAGAGCTCCAGAAGGTCTTCTAGCTATAGAAGAGCTATAGAAGGTCTTCTAGCTATAGAAGAGCTGCAGAAGGTCGTCTAGCTATAGAAGAGCTTCAGAAGGTCTTCTAGCTATAGAAGAGCTGCAGAAGTTCTTCTAGCTATAAAAGAGCTGCAGAAGGTCTTCTAGCTATAGAAGAGCTGCAGAAGGTCTTCTAGCTATAGAAGAGCTGCAGAAGGTCTTCTAGCTATAGAAGAGCTGCAGAAGGTCTTCTAGCTATAGAAGAGCTGCAGAAGGTCTTCTAGCTATAGAAGAGCTGCAGAAGGTCTTCTAGCTATAGAAGAGCTGCAGAAGGTCTTCTAGCTATAGAAGAGCTGCAGAAGGTCTTCTGGCTATAGAAGAGCTGCAGAAGGTCTTCTGGCTATAGAAGAGCTGCAGAAGGTCTTCTAGGAAGCTAAAGGATAGCTGAAGAATGTCTTCTGGCTATAGAAGAGCTGCAGACAGTCTTCTCCCTACAGAAGAGCTCAAGAAGGTCTTCTAGCTACAGAAGAGCTGAAGAAGGTCTTCTAGCTACAGAAGAGCTTAAGAAGGACTTCTAGCTATAGAAGGGTTGTTACAGAAGGTATTCTAGTTACAGAAGGTCTTGTAGTAACAGAAGGTCTTCTAGTCATAGAAGTTCCTCTAGATTTTGAAGACCGGTAGGAGGTCCTCTATTTCTTGTTAAAGACGTTGAGAATGTCTTCTAGATGTGGGGGATGCAACATCTAGTGGGGGGCTATAATTCTCCGGTTTTTTATTAATCTAAATGACAGACAAGTGTGGGGTCCTGCACAGACTTGATTAGAAATATTTTGTTTTTATTAAATAAATCGTTTTTCGTCCCACTGTGACTTCGATTGTTGTAGCGAAAAAAAATGTAAAGCTGCTATTGAATTTTTATGTTAATTTCAATTTTTTCTCGACTTGCATTCGATTTGATTTTTTTGAGCTTCTTTTGCCCTCATGCCGCTGCCGCACTGAACACCAGGAGATGTTAAAAAGACGATGGCTATGACAACAACAATGATGAGGCCTGCTGACAACGGCGACTTTTAAGAAAAAAACAAAAAGCGAATAACGTCTTTGACTATAAGCGTCAAAGCATATCATTTTTGCCAACATTTTGAATAGGCTAAACATAGCCACCGCTGTCGATCAGGACATTTGACAATTTCTGCTATGCCACAGCTTATGTTTTATGTTCTTGGGATGAGGTAAAAAAAAAAGAAAATAGTTTGTCTCGAGAGCCTTTGTTTTTACCTCTACGTTCTATAGAATGACAACAAAGGCAAACGATCATAAGGATGCCGGTTTTTGTCATTACAAGCGCTATAATGAACCAGGTGATGGGGTGGCCAGGGACGTGGGGAAGCCTTCTGAATGGGAGTCTTATGTCACAAATAAAAAAAAAAGAAATTTTATAGAAATGTTGAAAAAAAACTCCCTGTCTCTTTTTCTGCCCCGTTGGGGATGAGTGGAATTGAGCCTTTGATTGCAACGTCCCTGCCGCAATAACTTTAACAACATATTTGAATGTGTGCAAGATATTTACCTACAAATGTGTGTTTTATGAATTTAGCCATCCTCAGAATCAACCCAGTTCAACATCAAGGTTGTATTCAAATTTATGAGACATTAAAATGACAAGATTGTTTTTTTTTTTTCTTCTCCTCTGCTTTGTTTGCTAACGATTTTCTTGTCCAACATTATTGACATTACTTGTGGAAATGATATTCACCATTGTCTTTTCATATTGATTTTGTATTGTTTTGGGATGTTTTGAAATTGAAAAGTTCATGGTCATGTGGAATAAGAAGATCAATAGGAAAAAGAATAAGAATGGATGATGTGTTGAATAAGTGAAGAAACAATAATAACCTTGGCATAGAAAATCTCAAAAGTGGAAGATTGGCAAGTTCAGGGTCAAGGAAATTGGCGGATGTTTCTTGGAAATGTTCATTAATAAAGAAAATGAAAAAAACAATTTACTTTGAAATTGAAAATAATAAAAACTTCAAACTGATTAAAGTAATTAGTTGTGATATAAATCGTATATCCTAAAAGTATGCTATATTTTTTCTGTATCCAAGAAATAATTGGAAAAGTCGAAAAACAGAGATTTTCCCTTATTGCAATGATTTTGCGATGGAGAGTAACAGATTCCAGGTTCCCGTTTAATGAATTTATTTCAAGGAGATTCTGAAGTTTTTCAAAACCCGATTGTGGACTTTTCTGTAGCTTACCTCTTTCAAAATACAGTTTTGAAATTAAAAAAGATAGGATATTTAAAAATACGTATCACTCTTATCAGGGTCATAAAATATCTTATTTTTATACTTTATTTCAAAGGTCTATATGAGGATTTTTGAGACTTTATATTGACTTTATTTTTCCATTAAGGGAGTATTAAAGAAAAATTACACTTTTTAGGGGAACATCGAAAGGTTTTTCCAAAAAAATTTCAGAAGACCATTAATCCAACAATAGAAGGGATTTTAAATTTTGTAAATGTTTTTTTGATGAATATTCAAATATTTTCTAGAAAAGTTTTAGAAGTTCATGAAAAGACCTTCGAGCAGATTCTTTTATAAACCTATCGAAGATCAAAAAACGTTGTTTCAAACAGATCATAGAAAAAACTTCTCAGCGAATTTTCAGAAATATTTCGATCAAAAGAGTAAATTTAAAATAATATTTTTAGGAAATCATCGAATAGGACCAATAAAAATTTTATTGAAAATACCTTTCTAGTACTTTTGTTAAGAAATAATTTAAAAAAAAATTCTAGAGAACATTTCTTAATTTTTTAAAAATGTTTTTTGGAAAAATACTTTCAGAAGACATTTTCCAATTTTTTTTTGGGAAATAACGGGTGAGATGAAAAAAACTACAACTAACTTCAGACTGCTATCATTTTTAAGCTACTCGTCTGACAGCTTTTAAAATTATTCCAGTCGATGGTCGCTCTCCGCTCACATTAATCGACCGTGACATCAGAATAAATGCCGAATATTATCGCGAAAATTAACATTTTAGCCACAGACCTTGCCACACGCCACCCAAAGAATGGTTACAAAATGAGGTTCCTCGCTTCATTTCCAGCGCACAATGGCCACCAAAATCTCCCGATACCAATCCGAACTATTGTGTCTGGAGTAGTTTGGAAAGCAAGGTTGGCACTAGAAAATGCCAAAGTGTCGATCACTTCAAGCAATCGCTCGGGCAGCGTGTGACGGTTTCATTGGCCGATTGAAGGCCACAATTTGTGCCAAAGGTGACCAATTCGAACAAATCTGAACTTATTCTAAAATTTGATGCTATTTTCGACATTTTTTGCTTTCCTTCAATAAAATTTAAAAAAAGTAAAAATTATGGCCTTTGACTTTGTTGCAGTTATTTTATCGACCGTGACATCACCCTGTATTCTATTAAGTTTACTTTTTAAGAATCATAAATATTTTTTAAATATTTTGAAAAGACAGTTTTAATAAAATTCGAAAAAATTGCATTACAGGCAGGCATTCGTGAAGAAATATTTTCAAAGGGCTGTCATAGAATTCTTTAACTGGTTTTGGAA